CGGATCTCACGAGGAGTACGTCCGAAGAGGCTACCAATCTTCGTTAGACGACCTGCGCAGACATGCAAACCAGTAGAAAGACATACTGGGTCTTGATGAAGATGACGAAAAGGTTGATAATCTGCGCCAAATCGAACAAAACCAAGAAACCACGAAGCCTAACAGAAATATGAGGATGTGTATGACACGGGTCGTACGGGGCAGAACGACGTACGGGAAGTAGGTAAGCCAGTACGATGCCTGCTCAATGTATGTCTTGTTGATAGTGCTGGGCAGCTCTGCGAACATCCTTGAGCCAACCATCATCGTGCACACTCCGTAAAGGAACACCTACTGCTGAAGTTCTTGAAGATTTCCTCGACACTCTTGTGTGTGCCGATGAGATTCACGATTTGCTTCACCGAGTCTAAGAAAGTTCAGGATATCAGTCGGCACTTCTCTTACAAGAGACGGGGATCCAGCCAAGACGTACTGAAGATGACGCCAATGAGCGTGAAGATGATCAGCTGCGAGATGACCAAGAAGGCGAAGTAACGCGCGACAACAGCGCGATCCATGCGTGAGTGGGTGTATGCGCCCATATACTTGGTCAACTTGCGCATGATAATCGGAAGTGCCCAACCAAACAGTGCAGAGACGGCCGGAGGAAGCACACCAGAAATGAAGGTGAAGGAGCCAGGGGAAGCGTCAGACCATTGCTGCAGGAAGGGGACGAATGCAGTCAACTGGATTGTGGAGGAAAGTGAGTCAGACCGTGTCACAAAGAAACAGACAACCATGTACATACTGAGGACAAGTTGGCCAAGAGAGATATAACAAGGAGCGGGACGGTATTGAAGAAACAGACAGTGATGAGCCATATCCAGCCAATCGTCTGCTTCCGCCGAATTTCGGACGGGGTCCTGCCTAGATTCCTCCAAACCTATGTGAACCGGTCATCAGTATTTGAGGTGGCCACATGGTACACCTGGCGCCACTTACGATGTCCTTGGGGTTCGGTGCGAGGGTGATAGTAGCACCTTTGGGGTGTTTACGCCTGAGCATGTTTGCGACAATGTGGGCGTAAGGGACAGCTGCCATTAAAGCGAATCCATAGTTCTCTGGCTTGCGCAGGTCAATTTGCGCACGGAACTCTTCTACCGCACGCTCTGCACGCTGCAGCTTTTGCCTGAATTACAATTAGTAAGTCAGAAGCGTCTGGTAGAGGTGAAGAGATGTACATACGTGTAATAGTCAATCGCGTCCTTCTTCTCGCCACCACAACCCATGAAGCCTCCGATGGTAATCGTAGGCCGCTTCTTGCCGATCTTGCCACCCTTGAGGTACTTCACCAGCACGGCCTCCAAATCGCGCACAGCGTCGTTGTGGTACTCGATAAGTTCGGGCAGCCGACCGACCTTCCGACCGATGTGCACGGACGTGGTCGGGTAGGGAACTTGCACAGACTCGAAGATCGCGCGTAGGCCTTCATCCGACTGTAATTTCTTGGGCACTTCGGTGACCATGAGCGTACGTGCGTAGAACGACTGGACGTATTCCGGAGAGCGGAACCAGTCGCGCCGCAGGCGGACGACCTCGCGCCAGTGATACCACACAAACGCCATGACGATAAAGGTGATGCCGTATGTGACGACGATATGCGCAAAAATCCAGTTAGACTTTTCGAGGTCCCGGATAGTAAGCATCGAGAGTGCATCCCGGCCATCCGCAGGGACGTATTTGAGATTGAAGACGACGTTGACGGGGATGAGCACTGCGCACGTCAGCGCGGCGATCGCAGAAAAGAGCCACCGACAAAGACGGAGAAAGCGCAGAAAGATCGCCGCATCGAGGCCGATTTTGTCGACAAGTTCAGGCTCCTTAGTATGCAGCAGGGGTGAGACCCAGCCCAAGAAAGAATCGGAGGGGCGAGGTGGAACTTTGTTGCCGACATGATACTTGACTTTGGGCTCGTATACAATCTATGAATGAGCCGATCAGTATTTCATCCGTGACAGTGGCAACTGGATTCCACGAAACAAGGCAATGTTTAGCAGTCAACGCCCTATGCCGCTCTGCTCAGAATGGGCAGGAAGCTGGGCGCTTCTATGGGCGGCGGTGTATGAATGCTGTGCGCGAACAGCGTGGCACGAGCGTATGCACACTGCGCCGCAAAGCTTATAGCACGACGATCTAGCCGGAGACTATCAAGGTTAGGCGCATATAAGGGTGACACGTTGTGGCAAGGATGTCACTACGCATATAGGATTGTACCGATCTCATCCCAGGGTGCATATATAGCCTCGCACACATCACCAGGACCGGTAGCCTCAGTCGCATGTTGGTTTGCGAGTACTGCAAGGCAGCGCGCAGCGGACTAGCAGACGAGGCCTACTCGTGGAGGCGACACCATTGGGGAGGCGCCACGAGTAACCGGAGTGGATTGAAGAGTGGGGATGCAGCCAAATGATTGCGGTACGCATAGAACCCAGCGAAAGAGATAGAGTACGAACCTTGTTCTTCGGACGGAGAACGTTGAATACAAAGACCGTTGCGAGCTGTGTGCGCGGTCAGGAACTACAAGCTCTGGTCTCATTGCGGCGTTTGCAACTTACCGAGACTCCCAACATCAGCCCGACCTGGGAAGCTACTGCAACGGGCGCCAGCGTCCGTTGAGATGCGGTCTCGCCGATGATCTGGTCGAGGTCACCGGTATTAGACATGGCGGCGGCGGAGGGTGATTGGTGAATCCAGAGAGAACGATAGCGAGCCGGCTCAGAGGCGAAAAGAGTGGTGTAGTAGAGAGACCGAGAGCCGCTCAGCTCAAGCTCAGCAAGAGGAAGTGATGGCGACTAGCGAGCCAGAGTGTGTTTGTTGGGGAGGGTGGTGGTAGTAGCGGAGAGAACAAGCCTCGAAAGAGAACAAAAGCTGAATTCTCCAAAGTCTCAAGGGCGCGCGTCTAACCCCCACTGCTATTGGCTGGAGTATACTTATCCGAGCTTATCCTTGGCATGACCGCACTTATTATCCCTCCGGGTCTAGACGCTCAGGCACAATTCCCCGGTTCACGCTTAGTCAGCGGCCTTCGTGCCCTCGACGTCGCTTCCGCCCCCGCGCTCTCTCTCGCGCAGCAACCATGTCCAACCTCGACTCGTTCGTAAAGTCTTCGCGGCCACCCCCAAAACCGCTCGCGACCTCCCAAGAAGTAAGGGATCGCGGCTCAATTTTCGTCGCAAACGTTTTCTCGGCCACTAGTCCAGACGAAGCCCGCAAGGCTGTTCACCATCTCAAGCACGTTACGCACGGCAGTCGGCCTGCCACACATGAGATTGCGGCATGGCGGTGCATGGTTCTAAAGACGGGCAAAACTGGCCTCGGTGGGCCGGATGACTTTGAGGTCATCGGAGGCTTCGACGACGATGGCGAAAAGTATGCTGGTAACAAAGTACTCAAAGTCATGCAGGCCGAAGGCGTGATCGACGCGGTCGTGGTGGTCAGTCGATGGTAAGCATGACTCGGAGTACACTCTGCATTGTTGAAACTTGAAAGTCCCGCGCTCGATATGTGCGTGCCCTCGAGTCTCTGAAGTCCGAGTCCGAGATACTTCGGACTATGATGCTAGACGGCAATGGCGATGAGAACACCGAGCTGTCAGAAGTTGCTACTAATTTCGTGTTGTGCAGGTATGGTGGTGAGATGCTCGGTCCGGCGCGCTTCGATCACATCGAACTCTGCACGCGCGAAGTATGCCGCACCTTTCGGCTCAAAGACGACATGGCCACCTGCATCGCGACGCTCACCTCCCTGGACGATATTCTGTCTTCTCTGCGAGCCGAGCTTGCCTCGCTGACGGCGAGCAAGCCCATCTCGGACGGCTCAGAACCCAGCAACCGTGGTGTTGGCGAGCAACCTACGTCAGAGGGCGGTACATCGGTGATAGCTGCGGTCCCGACAAAGAAGACCCGCCCGACATACACTGCGCTTGAAGAGACCCTCGACGTCGCTAGGGCACAACGGCTGATTACGGCTAGGGAGAACTCCATCAAGAGCGTTAAGCAAGCACTACAGAAAGCTCGCGACCAGCAAACATAAACATTACCGTCAAGAGCTCCGCAGCAGCCGTGTAAATGCGTACCACAATTCCCTTATGCCCCGATATGACCCCGTCCCCTGGTAGTAGATATCTGCGGCTATCTCCCGACATCGTTCGAGCCGAGCCATCATGGGCTGTCCCTCGGTTCCCATCATACCTATCGCGATGGAGGTTCGATGGTGTACAACCTTTCACTCGTAGGACAATTCAAGTGAGCGGTTTGACCAAATCTAATGCATTTTGTGCTCACGGTGAACATTATAGCAGCCACGATATCACGTAGCTCCAGGGCCCAGGTCGCTCAGAGGCGAAGCTGTGGTGGACTGGACGGTCGCCGACGGTATGGGTGAGTGTTATACAACTATCGCAGCCTCTGAAAGCTTGGAAACTCAACTTAACGTTAGTGACATCGTATACTAGCCTGCCTGCATGTTTCATAGCGTCTTGTTGGTCAAATTGACTTAGACGAGGCAGGGAATTTCCTCAAGAGATGGGTCTCGCTACTGGTTTTGCACATGTCTGAGGGCAGAGCAGGCGCACAATATGTATGTACGTGGACGCCAAATATCCAACGGGCATGTGGTGTAGTTGGTTATCACGCTCGCTTAGCATGCGAGAGGGGTCCGGTTCAATCCCGGACATGTCCATTTTCTTCAGGCTTAGAAACAGGGGATGCCTCGCTCTTTAGAAGTACATGCGCAAAGTTACTACGAACCAAGGGCCATTACGATCAGTCCACCTCTCTCGTGCCTGTTACTGTCTTTTGCGACGTCTACCAATGCCAATTCCAACGTACTTGTGCAACCATCTAGACTTTCAACAAGTATGGTCAATTAAATTGGTCAGGAAATACTTGTTGGAAGCAAGTAGTTCCTGTTATAGTAATGATAGCATTCGTAGTGAAACGTGTGCCTAAACCTTATCATATGGGCATGTGGTGTAGTTGGTTATCACGCTCGCTTAGCATGGGTCTTTGCGCAAGACATGTGTGCGAGAGGGGTCCGGTTCAATCCCGGACATGTCCAGATTTTTTGTTTTCCACCGAAGGTGGCTGAGCTCGCTAACTTCAAAGCCATCTCGCACTCTTCCTTAACGCACATTTCCGCGACGCCCAGCTACAAAGAAGGGTGGCGGGAGGTGGCTGGCAGTGGCCCATTGTGGTTACGAACACGAGAACACTGGCAAGGGGGCCGAGTTGTATGCACCCCCGACAAGCGTTGAATCACAGCACCGATTGATTTCGAGATCGATATATCAACGAGTACAACACGACCTCCCAATCTTGATACAAGCCCAACAAGAGGGAAGTAAGGAATCACACAACACATCGTTCCCCTGCTCGCTCAGTTCCAGTACTTCTGTGCATACAAACCGAGCACGGCGTTCGCGAGGACGTCCGTGTACGACAGCACGTCCGCGCTCGTGTACTTCTTGGTGCTCTGGAGGCCGTTGAGGATCTGCAGCAGCTGCGTCTCGATGAAGTCGACGAAGACGAGGTCGATCGGTGTGTCGTCTGACACGTCCGGCGCGTTTGAGCCGATGAAGTCAGGGGTCGAGTAGAAGGGCTGTGGGCGAGGCGAGTAAGTGAGTATGAGTGAAATATAGTACTCGGTGAGTTGGCGCGAGAATGCAACTCACGAGAGGCGCGTGGAGGACGTCATCGCCCACCCCAGGGCAGTTCTGCACACAACCGTGAGTATACCGGACAGAGAACCAACGATGTACCGAGAAGACTCACGTCATGCGTAACATACCCGAGCGTGGCGTTCTGCGCAGCCCGACGCGCAGGCCCGTTGCTCCTCCGGTCCATCTCCTCGAGCCACTGAAGGTAGCGCATGTCCACCTCACCACGAGCGTACCGCTCGCGCTCGCGCTCATGAATCTCCCTACGCTCGTTCGCACCCGCCTTATTGAGCGCAGGCAAGACTTGCGTCGCAATGCCCGCAGGGACATCGGGGATGTAAAGGAACGAGTCAGCGAAGGGGGACGCGGTGAGCTGGTCGTTCTTGGAGAACGGGCCGGCGTACACGTCGAAGCGCTGCGAGCCCGAGTTCGTGATCATGACGTTCGGCACGCCCGCGCGCGAGTTGTTCACGGTGAGCGCGTACGGCATCGCCTCCGCGCCGAAGAGCGTGAGGAGCGAGTTGTTCGACGGGTACGGAGCCTGGCTGATCGTATAGTCCTGCGGGGCGGTCCCGAAGAGGTCGCCGAGGTCGAAGCGCTTCGCGAGCTCGTTGAGACCTTGCGTGATCAGACGCCCTTGTAGGGTGTCGAAAGAGAAGTTGCTTCGACGCGTGTGGTACTGTAGAGTTTACGAGTTAGACTTTGTCCAAGCTTGCATGTGAGCAGTGAGCTTCATACTTCATAGGTGACGCGGTTGGGATCAAGGTACCGACGCGTGAAGGTGATGTTCTTTTTGGAATCACGGTTCTCCAAGTTAGCACCTGTTGCGTGCTCGATGAGTATACTGCAGAGGACGAAAACAGATGGATTCACTGACTCATCCAACCTATACGATAGTCAGTCACCAAACCACGCAAGGGCAAAAACAGGCGCAGACATACCGACAGTCTCCATGTAACGTCCACTCTCAAGGGCGATAGAACGGCCATCCAGTTGCACTGGCCACAGAATGAGCATGGCTGACGCCTGGAACGGTCGAGTATGATACACTCACAGCAGTCACGAATGTGAGTGTGTCCTCCAAGAATCAAGATAGGCGTCGTGGGGTGCACCGCACGAACGGCCTCAAAGACGGTAGGCCCTACGACGCAAAACAATCAGTCCCAGTATTTCTACCCGCCACACAAGCACCTACAGTTATCGTTCCGAACAGGCATGTGCCTAGAAATCGAGATGTGAGGATCATATCCAGCAGGCCAAACATCAGATCTATGGATCGGCGGCCGGCGACGTACCCTACGAGAAGGAAGAAGTCGGGCTCTTCCTTGATCGCCTCCGCGAACTGTCAATCAAGATCTTCAGTGAATCTCGCATCACCATCGACGTAGAACATCTGGAACGTACCCAGCGCTCCTTCACCATGTCTCCGACCTTCTGCACGGTCGTGTTCACGTCGTTGCCCGTGAAGTCGAACAAGACGCCCAGACTGGTTACTTTTCGGCCCCTTGCATCATGGCACCTTGTCAGTACAAGTAGCACGTTCGTGGAACCGAGGAAACTCACTTCCTGGTCTTGAACTTGGCATAGCGGCTGCCGACGGGAACGCTGACGACCTCGTTATGCTCGTTGAGGACGGTGATGTTCACGTTCGAAGAGAGGTAGCGCCCATTGAGCTTCGGCGCGAAGTTCTTGTACATGTCCAGCGTGTTCGCGTAGATGTACAGCTCATGGTTGCCAATCGCCATGACATCGTATGGGAGGTCAAGAATGAACTTGTTGCTCTACGAGGTGCCTTATATCAGCGTTGGACCATTGATAGAAGGTGGGCAGGAGTTACCTCGTGGGCGTCGACTCCGCCGGGAGGGAACCCGTCAGACAGGCCGGTACCTGGAGGAACATTAGCGGGCTTGTCGTCCGAACATATGCGAGGGCGAACCATCGTGCAAGTCTCCGGAGTCGACCAAGAGCAGATCGACGTCTTTTTCCTAGGATCAATATCAATATCACCTCATTCTAGTATCCGGTTCCGTTGGACTCACCAGAGCGATTTGCTTCATATGCGCCACGAAGGACGCGAAGTCGCCGAAGTCGCCACTACAGTTCCGCCTCCAATATCACCACCAGCTACCAGCCGCAGTGAGACGCGTCGCGAACGCACCTGTAGTTCGGCTCAGGGAAAGATGCCTTTTGGTGCCCAAGCAGCCAGCCATGGCTGTCCGTGGTGTGGATGATATTCACGTCCCCCCACTCGAGCGGCCTGGAGGGCGGGGTGAGGTGCGTCTGGGGGTACGCGCGACGCGAGTGCTCGTGCGCGTGATCGTGTTCCTCTCCCGGACACGCGCGGGCCGCGACGGTCGCGAGCGCAAGCGCGAGCAACGAAGTGAGCTGCATCCTCGTGAGGCTTCCTCAAGCGCAGAGAGAGGCGAAGCAGCTTAAAGGGGGCGAGACCAGGCGAGGGCGCGCTCGTATCTTGGGACGGCGTTCGGCTTTTATTAGGGACCGCCATAGTGGCCTGCCAACGTTCGCTTCGGCCTGACGCCCGGCGGCGCCAGGGGACGCGGTTGGGTGGTCGATTGCAGATTCAGATACTGTGGGATTGATATCAAAGCCGTACACTTGTGATGCGGGGCATCAGTTCGCGGGCAGATCCCACATGGTCTCCTCGTATCGCCCGCCACTCCGACGCGCGACGCGCGTGCAGATACCAGGGACAAACTTAGCACCGCGCCCGCCATCCAGTGGGGACGGGTCTCGGGGTTCCTACAACGCTTCCAGAGGAGGCGGGTGATGCCTCGTTGTTCTGGGTGAACAGGGGGTGCGCGCCGGAAGGTCGAACGTGCTCACGCGAGCTGACCTAGACTGCGCGCGAACGTCAACGAAATGGCAGTTATATGGCAGAAGCTAAGAAGCTTGCGATCCTTGCATGTGGGGATGGAAAGAGCACTGTTCTTGTGCACCGCGTGAGGGTGCGCATGTGTACGTACGTCGTGAAAGTGCTACGAGCTGCTGGAGCCTGGCGGCCCGACGATGGTAGCTGGCGAACTGACGTGTGCCCACATAACGCGTGCTGCATTGTGGTTGAATTCTTCCGTATTCGTAGCTAGGTTCGCGATGTTCCAACGCCCCCATGTCGGCGGAGGGACAGTTACTTTGATATAAATTCGTTTGATTACTCGGCCGACCAGCGACTGACGCTGAGTACTGCGTACCACGGGATTGTCAATATTAATGAGGGTCCTTTGGACGAACGTGCGTGCTCATATTCGCCCAGGCTCGGGCTGCTATAGGAGACTGGCAACGAGCATGACACCGCCGTCGACGACACTGGCAGGTCGTTATACTGACTGTTGTTCCTGGGCCTCGACGTTGTTTCAAATCTCGTCGCCGATGAGGAAAGGATGGAACGTGCGCTCGGGTATGGACCGAGAGTGGAGGGTTTGAACCAGCGCGCAGGTCGATGTCGGCGTGAGTACGGCAGACTGTGATCTCGACTTCAGGGGAGCCGAGCAATTGCAAGGGTGGTGGTAGTCCAGGGAAGAGGATAGAATGCACGGTCTTCTTCTCCTACTGCCGCGATACTTGTACTTAGGGCGGATGAGTACCCTCGCAGTGCTGTGAACGGTGGATGACCTTGACATATTAAGCGTACTCTGGTAAGTATTGGCAGTTTAGAATGGGAGCACAATCAAGCATATGCTACAGCAGTCCAAAGGGGCGTCCCACGAATGATTATCATGAGGGGGTAGTTTAAAGTCCAAACGAGCGAGGTATCGATACAGCAGGGCGCTATCGTAGAACAAGGGTAACATGGTGAACACTGTACAGGCTACAAAGGAGTGTCATCGCGGTCGTGAGCGTCGAATCGATTTAACAAACGAGGGTGGCGGAATGGATAGCGGGTGGTGAGTCTAGGCACGGCCAAATATCAGGAGCGAGGCGCGCGCGCAATTAGGTATATACAGTCCGAAAGTCGATGGAAACTTGCCCTGAACAAACGTCCAGGGTAGAGATAGGAAAGTGGCGCGGGGAACAAACGTCTCACGAAAACTGACACGAGCCACACGCGCCCTGCGCGCTGAGGCCCGTCCCGCGGACGTCGCACGTCTGCAGGCCCGCGAGGGCGCAGAACGACGTGCCGGACGCCACTGCGCCTGTCAGCTGGGTGTTGTTCGTGAGGGTGAGGATCTGGAGGGACGACGGGAAGGCGGACGGGAGTGGGTTCGCGAGCGAGTTGCCGTCGAGGTGCAGCTCAGTGAGCGCGGTGAAGGAGGAGATGGTGGAGGGGATGGTGCCGGAGAGGGAGGTAGAGGAGAGATCACTATATGCGAAGTGTTAGTGATGGAGGAAATTGTTAGTTAGGATGTACGTACAGAAGCTTCAGGTTTCCCCGTAGCGAGGTACT